AAGTATATGACTAAGAGAAAAACAGGAAATGTGACTTACTCCAACCATTAAACAAACTTTTTTTAAATGCTGACTGCATTGCCAAGTACAGTATTAGGTCTCTCCCTCCTACCTCCCTTCCTTCAACATCCTGCAAACATTTATTGTGTGTCTGTGAGGTGCCAGGCATTGCATTAGATTCTAGAAAAATAGTGGTGAGGTAGATGGATATGTTTCCTTCCATTGCAGAGCTTATGATCCAGGGAGAAAGAGACATATTGCACAAATGAACCCAGGTGGAGAAGCAGGGGTAAGTTCTAGATGTGACCACAGTGCTCAGGGGACATGGGGATCTGCGGGGTTAGGAAGACCAGCATGTTACGAGTTTCCATTTATGAGACTTGTTCTCAAAAGGCTTGTTCTCTCTAAATTACTTGCTGCCATTAGGTCAGTGGTATTTTCATTACATTGTCCCTAGGCAAGACTGGCATTTTCTATGGAGTTATCAATCAAATTCATGAATATCCAACTCCGTATTTTAAGTGACGAAATGGCTCTTCATTGGAAAATTCGGACATAATGTCTATTGCAAAAGGGACATATAAACCATCAAGATTTAAAATAATGAATTCACAGGTAGAACCTGGTGTGAGCTTTCCTAACACTTAACACAATGTGTTTTGTGTTAATACTTCTATTCTGAACTTCATCACCAAGTCCTGACTTACCTAAAATATTTCTTTGTACATCATCTTCCATCGACTAAGATAAAAGCCAGAATATGAATACGATTCTAAAATTTGTCAAATGATATCTGTAACTTTTTTTCTGCAGTTTTAATGCCGTTATAGAGAGGGAAAAAGGATGGGGAGCTCATGTTCATTGATTGCCAGTTATGTGTGAATGCCAAGTCTAATCTCATTTAATTCTCACAGGAGCTCTATAACATAGGTGTTGTTTTTGTCTCTGTTTACATATTAGGAAATTGAGGCCCAGAGAGGTTCAGATATTTGTCCAAAATTTGCACATAGGGCCTGTATTCAAAGCCAAGACTACCTGATTCTAAATGGTACTCCCAGTTTGGGCATGAATGATCTGACCATTTGCAGAAAGGCAAAAGAATTTATTTCCACCCACGCACAGTACATTTTAATTTACATAATCACTGCAAGTCTAAACAGTCACACAATAATCACAGTTTAACTTATAAAAATCCAGCACAGTCCTTATATCACAAGTTGTGTGCAACTGGTCCTGGGCTCTAGGACTCCCTTCATTTGTTTTTTTTTTTTTTTGCCCTAAATCTATTTTTCTTTGGAATTCTTTCCATATGCTACAGTTTAATATAACAGTACAATAAAGGCCATTCAAGATGTCACTAACGGGAAGATGATAATATATATATCACTCTTATGGAGATTATAGTTTTACTTTACTCATTAAAAGCTCTCTTTTCAGCATAATAAAACCTGCCAAATTGGACCTCCTTCATTGTGCCTAAAATGGAACTAATCATCTTGCTCTGGGCCTGGGTTAATATTCCCTCTTTCCTATTGCTTGCCATATGGCAAGTAGGGTCAAATCTTTGTAGCCACCTTTGACTCATCCCTTCTGCTCGTCTCCTCCTTCAGGTAAGCGTCATTAATAGTGAGAATAGCTTCGATATCAAGGGGAAGTTCACATTCACTCTGTCATGTGACCCAGTCTTCCTAGCAGCCCTCTAAGGTATTTGTTATCAATTGCATTTTACTCATGAGGAAACTGAGCTCCCAGGCAGTCAGAAGCTGAGAATTAGTGAAGAGTTGAACCCAGGTCTTTACGTACTACAAAATACCAACCATTCTTCCCTCAGCATTGATCCTCTGCTCCTCTCTTTCCTGTCATTACCCACGAACTCACCTTGAGTCAGATCTGCATTTTTTTTTATGTTTGAATGAGCGCTACAGCTTCCTAACCATTCTTTTTGTCCAACTTCCATCCAAACTCTATGCCCTAAACCAGGTTTGCCTTGCCAACCATTTGTATTTCTCCATTGTCTAATGCAGTAGTTATCAAGCTACTAAAATTCAAATAATCATAATGTTTCACTCATTTACAGAAAAAGTAGATGTTCATTTCTTAAAATTATGTTCTATTTTAAATATCTTGCTCTTAGTTTTTTCTTCTTAAACTTTTATCCTGGTCATCTGCTAATACGAGTATATATGGTTATTTCATATTGCCTGCAAATTATACTATGCTTACTAGGACACTATTGGGCCAATCTGAGAAGCACAGCTCTGGATTATAAGTGCTAAAATGATGGCCAAGACCCTCCAAACTCTGCTCCCAGGTCACCTTTCTATTACTTGTCAATCTGACATGCTTCCCTATTTGCCTTGGGTTGAAATTCCCAGCTCAATGTCAGGCACACAGGAGTATTCAGTCAGTGCTCTGTGCCCACAGCCTGCTGACTACTGACGGGTGTACTTTGCTGAGGAACATTCCAGTGCTTTGCTCATGTAGTGACCTTTGCTCCCAAGTTCTTTCTCTCTTCTCCTTTTTGAATCTGTTTTAAAAGATAATATTTATTGAATACTTCTGATGCTCTGGACACCTCCCAAAGGCACTGCAGGTATTAATTCAGCTAAGCTTCCCAATAACCCTCAGGGGTATAAAAGGCAAGACCTTTTTTCTGGGTCTCTGTTTCTGAATTTTCAAAACAGAGATTGAAATAATACTTACTTAATAGGATTGTAGTAAGAGTTGGGTGAGTGAATACATAAAGTGCCCAAGATATTGTAGTCATTTAATAAGCTTTAGCCATTATTAGGGAGCCACCTTCTAATTTTGGAACTTTAAGTTCATGCTGATTAACAACTTGCTAGTAGCAAGTCTCCGGAGTCCAAACACTGGGCTCCACAACCTCCCTTCTTCCTTTTTCCTACTTACTCAAATAACCTACGCCCCTCTAGAAATTCTTGGTCACTGATTTATGTTCCTAATACACTGTTACATGTAGCATAGTGCCACACTCACATAGATAGCCCTCTGCTTTCATATAATACTTCAAACATGTGAAATAATTTCCATCGTCGTTTCAATTGTATTAACAGTTGGGAACAGACCTGTACTGACGGCAGTCATCATGTTCCCATTTCCATTTCCTACTTGTGTTGGGGGCTCCCAAGACATTCAGTGATTTGCTAGGGAGACTTACAGGACTCAGCGCATAGTCACAGTCATGGCTAGAATTTATTACAGCAAAAGGATACAAAGCAAAATCAGCAAAGGGAAAAGACACACGGGGCAAACTCCGGAGGAAACGCGGCACATGCTTCCAAGAGACCTCTCCCACTGGAGTCACACAGGATGGGCTTAATTCCTCCAGCTATGAGCTGGGACAACAGGTATGAAATGTCATCCACTAGGGAAGTTCATTAGAGACTCAGTGCCCAGGGTTTTTATTGGGGGGCTGATTACATCAGCATTCCCTGCCAAGCATGTAATAAAATTCCAGACTGGGGAGTCCTTGCTTTATTCCTTATGAGAGAAATGCAAGCAGGTGTTCAGCATGAACCACATTGCTTGTACAAATAGTTGAGGCACAGCGAGCCATTCTTATCAGTTGTGGGAATGATGGGAACCCTCCTGTGATGGTTCATTTTATGTATTAACTTGGAGGGGTGGTTTAGATGAGATTAGCATTTATTAATAAATCAATGAATTTTGAGTAAACAGACTGCCCTCCATAATGTGGATGGGCCTCATCCAATCAACTGAAGGCCAAAATACAGCAAAAATACCAGCCTCTCTGAGCAAGAGGGGATTCTTAGCAGACCTCCTTTAGACTTGGAATATCCGAGGTCCTGGGCTACCAGCCTTTGGACTGGGACTGCACCATCGGCTCTCCTGGGTCTCACACCTGCCAGCCCAGTCTGCAGATTTTGGACTCACCATCATTAGCTCCTAGTCATGTGAACCAAATCCTTATAATAAACCTCTTTACATATATATGTAAAGTATATATATATATATATATGTACATGTATATATATGTACACACATGCACACACACACACACACACACACACACATGTCCTGTTTCTCTGGAGATCCTTGACTAATACACCTCCCTAAATCCAAGTTCCCAGGTGCCAGCAAAGGGCCAGCCTCACAAGCAGGTCTTCCTGAGGACAGCTGTCTCAGGCCTGCTATCTTAACTCTTTCCACACTCCACTAGTTTTATAGCAGCAGAAGCCACATGGCAGTAATAGCATGGAGCAGCGGAATGCATGAATCGTCAGAAGCTATAGGGTGGAGAGGGAGTGAGGAGAGAGAAGTTGGCAGTTAGTGGCAGAGAAGTGGGAGCAGCAGGCACAGAGCGCAGGTGCTGAGTGGTGGCTTCATTGTCGCAGGGGGGCATCCAAGGAGGAAACAAGGGATGTCTGTGGCTGGGGGAGCGGGCTGAGCAGGTAACTAGCTGTCCCTTTAGCCCACAAGACCTGCCCATGTAATTGTGGTTTGCAGTAGATTAAAGATGTCCAGAAGTTCTTTGCCACATAATGATGTGGAATCTGTTTCCCCTCCCTTTGAACCTGGGTTGGCCTGTGACTTGCTGTAACCAATGGAATGCAGCACAGGTAACATCGTGGCTGTTCTAGGCATAGCCTTGGGAAAGCCTGGCTGTTTCTGCTTTTCTGTTCTTGGAAGTCCGAGGTCCCCATGTAATGATGTTCAGTTACACTTCTGAAGAAACTGTTGAGAAAGAGAGAGACAGAGAGAGAGACATGCCCAGCCACCTCCAGCTGTCCCAGCTGTCCCAGCTGAGGGGACAAGCACATGAGTGAAGTCACTCTGTCCTATCTGAGAGTCAGCCCAGTTGAGACTCCAGATTACACCACCTGCGTGAGATGAGCGACTACTCCAGGCAAGACCAGCAGAACTGTTCTGCTGAGCCCCGCCCAGATGACATAATCCTGGACAAATAATAAAATGTCGTGGCTTTAACCCACTGACTTTGGGAACGGTTTATTTCCTAGCAATCGGTAACTGATTCGGTGAAGTGGCTGGAGGAGTCTGAGGACAGTGGCTTCATTGTACCCGTGAGGCACCGGGGCAGAGAGTGAGAGACGCCTGCAGCTGGGGCCGCAGGATGACTCCGTGAGTCGACACGAGCTTCTCCCTTCCTTCCAGTTTCCCCTGTTTCACAACACTGGCATGTGTCACTTCACAAAGAAAACAATCTGTACCCTTCTGAATTAGGCTTTACCCCAGAATCTTTTCCAGACCTTCCCAACCCTCAAACCGAAGTTTGTGAACAGTTGATTGAGATCCTGTACACAATGAGTCATGTTTGTCGACCGAATGCCTATTGCCTTAGTGGGGATCTTAGGTCGTCAAATCCCACGGCCTGAAGCTCCTCTCCTCACTCGGGGAGCCAAAACACAGCATGCAACCTCAGCTCCGGCAACGATTCTCAACACGTGCCTGAGTATGTATGCACAGGATGCCAAATCAGTGAGTCCAAAAGTGTTAGTAATTTCCCCCAAAACCAGTCTGACTGATCATATGGATAAAACCCAGAATTGATGGGTGATTGAGTTGTAGCAGAAACTGGACCTAAGACCAACTGGTGCAAATGTTTTTATGTCTCTTTTATGGATAATGAACCCAAGGAAGAGGAGGCGGGGGCAGGAGGCGGGAAGGGAGGGGAGAGAGAGAGAGAGAGAGAGAGAGATCCCATGAATTACCAGAACCGTTCAACAAGTCAATATTGAAGGCAGGGACAAAATCCAGGGCTCCCAGGGCTGCTTCAAGGCTTTCTCCTCTATTGGCAGCATTGGTTTTCATTGACATGTTTGTATATTTCTCTGCTAGAGAGGGCATAGGTACAGCCCTGCTTTTTTTTTTTAAACATTAAGTAAAACATATTTCCTCTTTATGATATCACTGTTTTACCCTGGATGCTAGATTAATTTCTTATGGGCAGTCTCAGCCATCTCTTGAAGACAAAAACAAAACAAACAAAAAAATAAATAAATAAATAAAAAACCCATCAACTGGTAAGAAATAAGCTCCCAAAGGACCACGCATTGAGAAAGAATGTACAAACCCAGCCAGTGAGGGGGGAAGGTGGAGAAGCTCTCCCTGCTAATAATCTTGGGAGAAAGAATTGCCCAACGTAGAAATGGGAGATTTCTTTAGGCCACCTCATTTCATCTGATAAAAAGTGACCACTTTCCAGTATGTTCATGTAAAAGAAAATGAATGAAAACACAGCTGGGAGGTAGCCTAGAATGCTAAATCAGGGCGAGGAAAATCTACAAGTGCATATTCCGTCAGTAAACATTCTGTATGTATAGCATACGGATAATTCATTCATTCATCCCTACAGGATTTCTAACATTCCAAATAAGCCCCCCAAATAAACCCTTCCGAATAAGACCTAGTGTGGCCCCGTGGCTTGCGCGAGTGTATCTGGCACAACCCATGCATTTCACTCTCACAGACGGTAAGAAGACGAGCAGCCTCCTCTCCATTCCTGCCCCATGAGAGCCCTCTATTGCTCGACATGAAGATTGAGGGCCCAATGGTTCTACAAGAAAAGAGTAGCAAGAAATTCAGAATGGAATTCAGGGGTTTAGGAGTTAGTAGATGAATCGTTCCACGAGAAGACACTAACTATATTTGAATAATGTAGATTGTTGTACTCGTACTTAAAAAACGTAAACACATCCCCTGAAAATAAGCCCTAGGGTTCGTTCTTAGGAACAAATAAATATAGGCCCTTTTATTCAGGGAAACATGGTACATATAATACCTATGATCCATGGGAAGTCCTTGATTAAAACCCTTCAAGCAACCCTGTTGGCCAGAGGGCAAAGTTCCAGCTTCAATCAACTGATTCAGCGTGTCTTTTTTTAACCCCCAAAGTTAACAGCACAATTCACAATTACAGAGATTTGGAAATCAACCTAAGTGCCATCCCAACTGATGGTGGATGAAGAAAATGTGGTGTGTAATACACCACACACACACACACACCACACACCACACACACTATGGAAGTATTACTCCAGCTCACAAAAATAATGAAAATAATGTCTTTTGCAGCAACGTGGATGGATGGAGACCCATTATAAATGAAGGATCTCCAAATCAGAATAAGAACACCACTACATATTCTTAGTTATAAGTGGGAGTAAATAAATGAAGGGCGTATCATATGGTCATAAAGTGCTGTAATGGTATTGAAAACTAAGAAGGGAATGGAGGGAGGGTGGTAAGGTCTAAAAATCTAACAGTTGAGTAGCAACTGTAGCACTATTCTGGTGACAAGTACTCAAAAGCCCTAATGCTTCTGCAGTATAACAAATCATCCATGTAACACAAACACCTGTCCCCTAAATCGTATTGAAATAAAAAAATACCATAATTCGAGGATCCTTTACAATCCTGCTTCCCCTTCCGCTCATGCGCAGACCACTGCCAGCTGTCCTTTCCCCAAATTCCATTCTCTCTTTTTCCTATACTAAGTATCAGCCCACAAATTTTCAACCCTGAGCATATTGTCAACCATACCGAGTCTATTCAGAAGTCCTTAGCCAGTAGGTGTGGCATGCTACTCGGCCAATGAAGCTAATAACAGTAAATGTCCTAATTGGCAAGTTCCATGAATCTCCGTTACAAGCAGCTGGCATTTGCATTTGTTCCTTTTCTTTTCCTTTCCTTTGTTACTGCTGGCTTAGAATGTGGATTGTGATGACTGAAATCTAGAGCAGCCATTTTGGACCAACGAAGAAAGAGATCTTGGGAAAAATGGAGAGCCACATGGATACAATCAGGGGTGAATATCGTCTGAGCCTCCTGAAATATCATTTCCCTACCCACCACCACACAACCTGAAACCGTGTTCCCGCCTCTCCAGTCTCACCTTCTTCCCCTTCTCTGCTTCACAGCCATCCGCTGAAGCTGTTGGTATGTCTCTCATTGTCGTGATAGTCTCTCTCTGTGCCTCTTGCCACCTCCTCTGCCTTTATGATTTCTACTCTCTGGCAAACTTCTTTCTTATCAAGACCCCTTGCTAGGATCTCCTTTGACAAGACTGGCTACTCGCAGCAGGCAAGCCAAATGTGCAATTCTTTCTGCTCATATTGTATCTAGTATTTTTGCCTAGCAGCAATCCTCACCACATGCCCATTACCAATGTTTTCTCTCTACCTAATTGTTCACAATAGACGAACGAACTCTAAGGTCATAGCTAATTAATATGTTTTTAAAACACATCTTTGTATTGTTAAGTGCCCTAGCACAAATTGGGTCCCCAACAGAATAGTTGTGCAGTGTGACACACTGAAGTGAAATTCTCTGAGCTTCCCATTTTGTCCATCTTAAAATGGGGGGCATAATAATCCCCATCCTATAGATATTTTGGAGATCTACATAATAAGACCCCAATAGGAAGAATTCTTTGTAACTTATTAGCATTGTTATCAAGAAAACCGAAAGTGTGCGTGTTTTACCAAAACCAATCCCCATTATCTTGTCAATCACCTTACACAAATATACATTTTTATAGAATCCAGGGCTGTTGACCTACTTATATTCTACAAGCAAATGGAGAAGAAAGGATGCATGAGAAAAGGGATGTGCTCGTGATCTTGGCCCAAAGTCAAAATTAGTAGAAGCAAGAGTATCGTTAAGGTCAATTTAATTTCTATTCTCTACATAGTTAACATATATTTGAGTTCAACTATCCTACAAACTCTGTAAGCTACGCCGTAAGCCTCCACTCACGGACAAACCATAGGTTCCATGTAAAAGTTGTTGTACTTACGTTATAAAACCAACAAGTGATAGCACATCAACGTTGTTCCACTTGCTGGAAAATCACCTCTCTAAGGTCATAGAATAGGTGTAGGAGAGCGATGAGGGCTGAGGACCTCTCACAATTTCTCTCCCATGTCAGCTGCTTTAAGAGAGGCAGGCGTCGGTGAGCAGCTGCAGCTGGAGCAGAGGTCAGGATGTCCTCCTCCTCTGTTTCTTCGCCAGTACCCACACCCGGGAACGTCCCGACACTCCATTGCTAGGAGAAAAGGGACCTGCCATGGGGTGATACGGCCCGTGCTCCAATCATGCTGATTCTCTCTCAACTGAGACTACTTCTCCTCTTGGCACTGTTCTGTCTTGGGTTTGTTCTACATTTCAGGTGACAAGTCTAATCAACGTCTATCATCCACTCTCATGAAGCTCATCACTAGAGCCACCGTGTAACTTCCATCCTTCTGTGACCTCCCAAGAACTAACCCAGCGCCAGGGATCTCATGCGTGGGAGTCGAAAAACCCCCCTTTGTCACAGACATCATTTGCTTCACCACCCTTCCAGGGAAGTCCAGTCTTGTTTTGGCCTCTATTTTCCTGTCTGGGATGGTTTAATTCACCTCTTATATTTATGAATCAGTGACATAAGCTTCTAAAGCAAGAAGTATTTGTGAGATCGCCTTTAAAACCCATGGAAGAACTGAACTATGCTTTCACTCCTTCTATTTAAACTGATTTCCGAAGGAGAAGGAGGCCTCAAAGTGCAAGTTCGGGCCCCTTCTCCTGCACGTTTGCAAATGCACAAAGCGGGTTCTGTTATGTCCTGTTGAAAGGCTATCTATTTGACAGTCTTTATGCAGTCCCTTCACAGACACCATAGAAGTCAGCAGCTCATATTTCTGCTTTTAAATATTCGATCTTTTGGCTTTAAACACCCATAAGGTTTTTGTCCAAGGAACGGATTAACCTCTGCCCCCAGCAGCCTGCATGCAGATTTTTAAAGTCATGGCCTTGTGGGGGTGGGAAGGAAAGTGGGGGAGCGGTAAAAGTCAGCATTCAGTAAGCCATTTATTGAGGTGCCAAGTACCGTGCAAGCATATGGAGACTAGTAATAGGTGCTGTGGGGGAGAAAAAAAAAATGGAATATATGTGTTCTTGCTCCTCCAAAGATGTAGGGACAGAAACATAAGCACTGTCCAGTTCCGCTCGAGTCCTAAGACCTAGACCATGTACGACGCATTATTTCCAAAGATGCTGTGCATGATGCGCAACGAGGCTCCCGACATGGGGGCAGTAGGAACATGTGAAGCAGCCAGGTGCACCATGTATGTGTGTGCTTG